TCGTGCGGCAGCTGTAGGAAGGCGATCTTGACGAGGCGGCCGTGAAGATGCTGCTGCCAAAGCCGCGGGGCTTGTTTGATCCCGTAAAGGGATTTTATCAGCTGGCATACTTTTGTGGGATCGTCGATGAATCCGTGGGGCTGCTCGACGAAGATCTCGGCATCCACAGGTGCGTACAGGAAGGCGTTTGCAACGTCGATCTGTCGCAGTGGTAGCTTGTTCGTGGCCGCGACGCTGAGTAGAATGCGCAAGGAGGTGTGACGGGAGACTGGGGCGAATATCTCTGTGTAGTCAGTTCCGTATCGTTGATCGAATCCTCGTACGACCCAGCGAGCCTTGAATCGTTCGATGGAGCCGTCCGCATTAGTCTTGATGCGGTACAACCACTTTCCCGAGAGCACGTTTTTCCCGTTGGTTTTTGTTGCAGGTACCAGCTTCCACGTGTTTTGGTCTTGCAGGGCCTTCAGTTCTTTTTCCATTGCTTCCTTCCATTTCGCCTTGTGTTCCCCCCCCAGAGCCTGCGACAGAGTCGTTGGCTCGCGCGGAGACGGCGGCGGCGGGCTCTGGACGGCGACCCATAGTCCAAGGATCTGCAGGCCCGTGGGTGTGTGTCGAGGGGAATTTTCATTCCCGGGATAGGCTGCTTCGTCACCATCTTCTGGGTCAGGTAAGAAATTTGGCCCGATGCTTTCTGAGACATTCGTGTCGACTGGTTGAGGTGTAACGTAACCTTGGTCAACGAAGTGGTAATAGGTGTCGAGGTTGTTACTATCGAGAGGATTGTCGTCGTCGAGGGAAACAGGCACGGAGCAGTAAGGGAGTGGTCCGGCAGTTTCCGAGGCTTCAGGTACGTCTTCTTCTGCTGCGTCAGTTCGTCAGCACAATCGGCGTTGGACCGAAGGCCCTCGAAGCCGTCAGTGGGGTCTTCTGTGTTGGTGACATTGTCCAGGTAATGTTGCAGCGCCAGTCGCTCGTAGAAATCATATCACGTGAGGCCACGGTATTTTTGTCTTGTATGTCGAGGAGTTTCCATGCTTGGAAATGTTTTGCGATGCCGAGGTGTAGTCCCCATCGTGCTCGTTGAGTGAAGCGTCCTGCTCGAGCTGTGTGTGGTCTGTACTGTACCATGCAGCCGAAGACTCGAAGTAATTTTGTGCTGCCCCTTTTTCGTGTCCACCGCAGGTGCGGTGATGCGTTGTTGGGAAGTGATGACGAGGACAGCAAATTGTGCAGGTGGACTGCATGCGTCATCGCGTCTGGCCACAGTGTGTTGGGCAGTCTCATCCCCAGGAGCAGCTTTTGCATCGTCGTCTGCAAGGTCCCGTTCATCCTCTCTGTGACCCTCTGCTGTTGGTGAGCGTATGGCAGGGACACCAGGCGTCTGATGCCTCTTTCTACCAAGTAGTTTCTGAATCGTTGTGACTGGTACTCCAGTGCTCCGTCTGACTGGAAGCTCTTGAGTTTCGAGCCCGATTCTCGTTCAGCTATGGGCAGCCATGCCGTGAAGGCTTCAAACGCTTGATCTCGTATCTTGAGGTTGTAGTGCCAGACGTATCATGTTACTGCGTCGATGAACGTTATAATGTAGTTGTATTCAGCTTCACTGTCATCTCGAGGCATATTTAAGATGTCGCTGTAGACCTTTTCCATTGGTTCGTATGCAGGTGCGCTTGGATTATGGTGCGACGTAAAAGGTTGGTGGGGAAGATTGGCTTCGGGGCACGTGAATCATTGTGCGTGGGGTTGTCGAAGTTCTTGGCCGCTCGTTGTGAGAAGGGCGTTTCTTTCTAACACGTCGGCTTGTATGGTTTGTAGCACTGTGCTGTTTGCAGGATGCCCGAGGCGTTGATGCCAGATGTCGTCGGGAGCGCGATGGCCGGGTGAGCGTTGGTACATGTCGGCGTTGGAGAAGAATACGACGACCGTGGCGGGACTTCGGCAGACTTCTAGGGTGATAGGCATTTTTGATTCACTTTGGTTGGCGGTCCTCGGATTGCTGGTGATGGTACACGGCTGGGTCATGCTGCTGCTATTGCAGGTGATGTCGGGGGAGGGACGCTTGCAGGTACTTGTCTTTCTTGTCGGATGACTGCTAACGCTCGTGTTCTCTCTGCTGCATGTATGGTGTTGGAGTACCGTAATCCATCTGGGGTAAAGTCGGGGTCAAGATCCGGCGGGTGCGTCCAGGCGGCGAACGACACGATGCCATCGCTGTCGGCAGTACCGCGGTCGGTGTCACAGGATCGAATGTGTCGAGGAAAGATTGCACTATCGATCAGTACAAGTCGCGTTTATACTTCCAGAGTACATCAGGTAACCAGGTTTATCTTATCCTAGGGGAATAGACCCTTCTAGAAGATAGAATCACCCTACGTATAGCCACGCGAGGCTATTGGCTTTAAGGGATTACAGCAGGATTATGCTAGATAGAGTGCACCAGTACATCCCAAGCCTAGTCGGTGATATAATTATAATAGCAGGATAAACCAAAGGTTAATGGAAAAGGAAGAATAGGAAACCAAATGAGATGGAATAAAAGAGAAATGAAAAAGGAAGGAAATAAGAAAAGGCCAAGTGGTGTAACGAGGTCGTACTCTCACACTTCCCCCCCTCAAAGCTGGGTGGTAGAAGTAACACCCTGCTTGACAAGGTAGTCATGCAGAGGACGACGGGCGTTACCCATGTCGGACTCAGGTACCCAGCTGTCCTCAGAAGGATCATAACCCTTCCAACGGATGAGAAGCTCCACGGTGCCATTCCAACGACGGCGGTGTGCGAGCACGGACTCGACCTCGTACTCGGGTTCATTCTGGACGAGGACGGGCGGTGGTGGCGGCGGTTGGCGTCCGACGAAAATCGTGTTCGGGTCCCGATAGGGCTTCAGAAGTTGGACGTGGAAGGCGTTGTGAATCTTCCAGGTAGCTGGCAGGCGTAAGCGGAAGGTAACGGGATTGACCTGTGCTTCAACGAGAAAAGGCCCGTAGAAGCGAGGTCGAAGTTTAGATGGGAGATGGCTGATGTCAAGGTTGCGGGTATCAAGAAGCACCTGGTCTCCCACCGTGATGGTGTGATCGTTGCGATGGCGATCGGCTTGGCACTTCTGTTGCTGTTGAATGTCGAGTAGGCGCTTGTGGGTCCGATCCCAAAGCTGATGCATGGTTGTGATGAAATCATGTGCTGGTTGGACTGTAGCTGATGCTGTCGGTTTTTGTGGTGTGAGTGGGTGGCGTCCGTAGCAGAGGAAGAACGACGCCTGTCCAGTAGCGGCATGTGTAGCATTGTTGTAAGCAAACTCTAGTACGGGCAGGTGCAAGTCCCATTTGGAGATCTCGTCCTTGCAGGCTGCTCGGAGGAGTTGCTCAACAATTTGGTTGAGGCGCTCGGTCTGTCCGTCTGTCTGCGGATGGTAAGCAGATGACATGGCGAGTTTGGTCCCGAGGAGAGACATAAGTTCCTTCCAGAACTTGCTGGTGAACTTAGGGTCTCGGTCGGAGATGAGTGTGGTTGGAATGCCATGCTGTGAGATGATGTATCGAACGAAGAGTTGTGCTGTTTCTTCGGTGCGTGCTGTCGTGTGTGTCGGGATGAAGTGTCCCATTTTGGAGAACTTGTCAATGACGACAAGGATGGCGTCATGACCGCTCGAGGTAGGTGGTAACCCGGTGATGAAGTCCAGGCTAACCACTTGCCATGGTTGTTCTGGGACAGGAAGAGGCTGCAGTAGTCCCGCCTTTTTCTGCTTGTTGCTCTTCATCCGCTGACATGTATTACACGAGGTGACGAATTTATGGACATCTTCTGCTAAGTGGGGCCAGTAGTAGTGCTTTGCGATACCGGTCAGCGTCTTGTTGCTACCGAAGTGTCCGGCGTAGAGGACGTCGTGGTATTCTTCGAGTAGTAACTGGCGCAAAGGAGGGTAATTGGGTACCCAGATTTTCGTTGATCCTTTCCGGTACGCGATTGTCACTGTCCCACTGTAGCAGATGTCGCTTTTCTGCCAAGGGAATTTCGGGGTCGGTGCGTACCCGTGTGTGAAGAGTCCCTTGTGTAGTGGATTCATCCCTTCGACCTTGAATAGCGGCAACGTGTGCAGGCCGGCTGAGAGCGTCTGCTTTGTTCTTGTGACCGGGCTTGTACACGATGTCGTTAGTGGAAGTGTGTCTCGAGGAAGTCGATCCACCGGACCTGCCGCCTGGAAAGGTTGGGTTGTGTCTTCAAGTATTTTAGGCTGCAGTGGTCGGTGTAGACGGTTGTTCTTCGTCCTTCGAGATAGGATCTCCACACCTTGAAGGCGATGATGATAGCCAGGGCCTCCTTGTCATGTATCGGGTAGTTTAGTTCTGCCCCGTGCAGTTTCTTACTTAGGTAAGCGATTGGTTGCAGTCCATTCCCTTGATCTTGCATCAAGACTGCTCCCACTGCTTGGTCACTGGCGTCAGCTTCGATGACGTAGTTGCGTTCGGGATCTGGCAAAATGAGTACCGGTGCGGACGTAAGTGCTTGCTTCAGCTGCTCCACGGCTTCGTGGTGCTTCGGCTCCCATTTGTAGGGCATGTTCTTCTTCAGCAGATTCGTGAGTGGTACACCACCACGCACTCGTCCAAAAGTGGTCGTAGAATGTGGTTCATTTCGGCTTGGAACGTTGCCGGTGCGTTGGTGAGTCCGAATGGCATTACCAAATACTCGTACGATCCATACCGAGTTCGGAAAGCAGTTTTGTGGATAGAGTTGTCCGCCATGCGTATCTGCCAGTATCCGAACCGCAGATCCAGTTTGGAAAATACCGTAGCTCCCCGAAGCTGGTCAAGCAGGTCATTGATTCGCGGTATCGGATATTTATTCTTGATGGTCTGCTTGTTAAGAGCTTGGTAGTCGATGCACATGCGCAGGCTTCCGTCCGGTTTCGGTGTGAAGAGTACTGGGGCACCGTACGGCGAAGTGGATGGTCGGATGAGTCCTTTGGCTAGGAGATACTCGATTTGTTTTTTCATGTCAGTCAGCTCCGTAGGGCTGAGCCGATATGGTGCTCGGAAGGTCGGCTTCGAACCCGGTTCCTCCACGATCCCGTGTTGATGCGTTCGGTTTGGCGTAGCTCATTCGGAAGATCGTCCGGAAGAATATCTTGGAACTCCTTCAATAATTCCTTGATCTTTCCTGGAGGTTCCGAGGTTCTCTCCCTGTCGTTCTCCGCCTCTGTTGCTATTGCCAGGAACCCTGTGTCGGTTCGCTTCACGTCCTTCTTGAATCGTGCGAGTGTCTCCACTGGATATCTCCTGTTCTCGTCCCAGTTGGGTAGCTGTACTCTCCGTCCATTGTTGTAGATGCTTGCGGTGCGGTTCACCCAGTTGATCTCGGGGTTGAATATTTTTAGGAAGTCTCGCCCGAAGATCAGGTCAAGCCCTTTGATGTTGGTGATGGGAAGTGCAGGTCTCCAGCGCAGTGGTCCAATTTGTAGGTGTAGCACTGCTTCGCCGTGTACTGGTAACTTGCTGCCGTCCACCATCGTTGCAGAGAATCCTGAAGGCTTGTACTCTTCCCGAAGTCGGTCGATTACTGCCTTGTCGCAGACCGGTGTGTGATGCTCCGCTGTCCACGAGTGCTTGGAGGCGTCGTCCTTTGCAGATGACCTCGAGCACGAGGGGCAGTCGTTGCTCGGAGTACCCAAAGATAGTTTCATTGATTGGGTCATAGGGTACATCCCAATATTCCGTACACACCTTTGTGTTGCTGTCTACTCCTAAGCTGGCAGCTGGCTGAGGCTGCTTGGAGAACGGCTCTTCTCTAGGGCCCGGAGTTTCCTTGACGACTGTGCGCGTCACTGATGCCGAAGAACTGGATGCATCCGGAGGAGGTTTTTGGGGTTTGTGCAGCTTCTTATAGACCCCCAGCTTTCTCTTGAGCTGCTTCAGCTCCACCGACGTCTTCCCTGGGGAACGGGTAGTCGTTGTGGGCTGGTGTCGGGAGAGGACGTTGACTCCGTGGAAAGGTCGGCTTCTTTCCACACGCCTTAATTTTTTCCCCAAGTTGTCCGGTACCAGTATAATCTCCACAGCTGTCTGCTTCTTTTGGAGTCCCTCCCGAAATTTCTCCAAGGCTCTAGCTCCTCGAAAATCATAAGTTTTCATTAAAACATCTTTATAAGATAACTTTAACGAATTCTTATAATTTCTTGGGTCTTCAAGGAGTTTCCCTGTCTCGGCAGAGTCCTTTTTCGCGGAGTCGTATTTTTTCTCGGCGATTTTCCCTGGCGAAGACTGGTCGTGTGGTGGAGATTTTCCCCCATCATTTCCTCCTTCCCGCGTCGAATCAGCTTCGTCGAATTTGATTTTCCTGGAATCCCGCGGCCGCTTTCGGATCTTTTTATTTTCGCCAGCTAGATCCGCAATTACTGGCGACTCCCATTTTTTGGCTTCTGATTGGCTGAAGGAATTCCGCCACTGTTGCGTGTGCGGCTTTCATTTTGCTGCAGTCGAAGATTTGATGACCCGGCACCCCGCAAAAATCACACGTGTAATTGGTGTTTTTCGGACGTGACCGCCCCTCGAATGTGTCGACTTCCATCGGGTCGGCGAACGTGGGGTGAGCCGAGCGGTCGCCCTGTCGGGTACTGCCGACGTGCGTCCGTCGTGTTCCGGCGTTGACCATGTTGAAGCGCTCCGCTGCCGAAACGACGTCACTGGTAGCTCGCGTAGTTTGACGCTGCAACTTGTCGTTTGACTTCGGTCTTCAGCCCGGCGAGGTACGATTGTACTTTTTCCCCTTCGGTCAGGTCGGGAATGCGGTTATAAAATTCCTCCATCTGCTGCGTGTACTGCGCTACACTCCCGAACTGTCGGTGTCGATGAATTTTTTCCCGGGCAAGGAAACTGGAATTTATCGGCTCGAAGCGTTTCAGCAGGTCAGCGCGGAACTGCTGCCACGTGGCTTCACCGTGGATGAAGGTACTGTTGCCGCCAATCCACTCGAGTGCCGGCCCTCGCATCAGTGTCACCGCGAGTCGTACACGTTGGCCGTCCCAGACTGGCGAGCTCCATCCGACGGCTGCGAAGTAGATCTCCATCCCGGCGATCCATCTGCGGGCGTCGGAGTTTCGATCGCTCGGATCGAACGGCTCAGGTGGGCGCGGTTTCGGAGCCTCGAGAAACTGCTGCGACTGCTGCGTCGTCGCCGTTGTCGTCTCATGCTGCGCTCCGGCGAGTCGAGTTACTCGCTCGAACTCGTTTCGCCACGCTTCGCGATCCGCTCGCATTTCCTCCTGAAGGGCTGCGATGCGCGCGAAGAGCTGCTGGGTAACCTCGGTGTTGTCGAAGGTTGCCATCCTGTTCAAAAACACGCACAGAGGGGGTAATTCGAAAATCGCGGAGCTGGTGCTTACCAGAATCGGCGTCGAATTGGTCGCCCCCGGCGGTTTTTCGAGGCAGGCTTTCCCGCTGCTGCTGCTTTGTTGAGCGCCGGCCGAGTGAGAAAAGCTCTGATTACCAAGTGTCACAGGATCGAATGTGTCGAGGAAAGATTGCACTATCGATCAGTACAAGGCGCTTTTATACTTCCAGAGTCCATGAGGTAACCTGGTTTATCTTATCCTAGGGGAATAGACCCTTCTAGAAGATAGAATCACCCTGCGTATAGCCACGCGAGGCTATTGGCTTCAAGGGATTACAGCAGGATTACGCTAGATAGAGCGCACCAGTACATCCCAAGCCTGGTCGGTGATATAATTATAATAGCAGGATAAACCAAAGGTTAATGGAAAGAAAGAATAGGAAACCAAATGAGATGGAATAACAAGAAATGAAAAAGGAAGGAAATAAGAAAAGGCCAAGTGGTGTAACGGGGTCGTACTCTCACAGTCGGGGACGAAATCCAACACGAAGTCACCCGAATTTAGGAGAGCGCGACCGATGAAGAGGCCGCCCTTCCCGTGGTAAAGACGAAATTCGTTGGCATCCGAGGTGAATCCAGGTGAATCCCTTTCTCCATTAACTGACTGACGCTTAGCAGGTTGTATCCCAAGTTGTCGACGATTAGAACCTTGTTGAGTTGCAGTATGACATTTGTCTCCATGGACTGCAGCTGAACCACTCCTTGTCTGTTTGTTTCCATGTTATCGTTATAGGCGATGGTGATGATGACGTCGCGGTTGAGGCATTGCTCTCGTTGCACGAAGCGTCCGGAAGAAATCATGTGTTGGCCGCAACAGCTGTCCAAGAACCAGGTGTTTTGTCCGGTGGGTTCGGCGTTGGCGACTGCAACGTACGTCGGGTTGACCTGAAGGCCTTGTGAGCGTGGCGGTGGCAGTTCTTCTTCGTCTGGAGAGTAAGTGGGTGGTGATCCGGGTGCGCAATTGTCGATGCGTACCATACAATTGATGATGTTCGGTGTGCCCTGTGCAGATGTGGAGGAGCGCCTTGGCGGACTTTCTTGAGTGGAAGCGACTTGTGGGTCTACTGGACGATAAACTCGGGGGCGTGTGCAGTTAACTTTGGAGTGTCCGGATGTCTGACAGTTGTGACAGAACGGCGGCACGATGGTGAGTCCTTTGGTGTCGTGTCGATTTTGCCTACCACGTCGATTGTAGTTGTCATTTCTTCGTTGAGTATAGAAGACTAACGGTTGCTGCTTGTGTCTTGGTTGTCTTTCTTCAAACAGGTCCATTTCCTGTTGTTCAGCATGAAGCTCGGCGCAGAGGTGCATCTCCGAAATTCGTCCTTTCGAGTTCTTTCGTCCAACCTCCTTGTGTAACCTCCGTTGACTTCACATACCCGATACGACTTTACTCGAGTGTAGTGTTACACTTCAGAAACGCTTAAGTCCTTGAGGTATTTCCAACAGTTGTTGGTACAGTTTGTTCCATGAGTTGGTTGCCTGGCCCTGAACGTTGCCATGGAAGTTATGTGTGTGAATGAAATGGAAAATGCTGTCTTGAAACTGTTCTGTCCTTGCCTTGTCGAATAACCAGAAATAATAAATCAGAAATGGCTTGATAAAGGCGATAATACATTTAAAGCCTGTGGCTCCTATAGCAGACCTGGAAGTCCGTTGAAGTGTAGAACGGAAGGCAGCTTTGAGTTCAAGCCTGAACAAGAAAAGCGCGTCGAAACAATTTTTCGTCGAGCTTGCTGATTGGAGGAAAGGCGAAAGATTTCGTTTTGCTGTTTGTTGCGACACGATCATTTGGTTGCGATTTGCAGAAAAGCACTGTGTGCATCGCACGGGGTTTGGGCGAGAAGCTTGCGACGAAACCAAATCATCGTGTCGCAACGGAAATATTGGTGCGTTATGATCGGGGATTCAAGGGATTTCCAGGTCTTCAATTCTGAAATCAGCTACAGTTCGCCAAAATCACTGTTGTGCTCGCATTTTTTCTGTTCACGGAACCACGAATTCGGTCGCACGACTCGTATTGCACTGTTCACCGAATGATTTCGTGCAGAAGTGTCGCCAAACCACCACGTTCAGATTCCCCTTTGCAGAACGAAATGTTTATATTCTGCTTCGTTTAGAGCGTGTTCCTATGGCCTTTTCCCAGGCCAACCCATTCCCAAGCTCGCTCAGTACAGTGCGACATAATTTGGCGCGAAATTGACGTGAAAGGGTGCAGAGTTGTTCCGCGCAATGTGACGCGAAATCGACGCGAAATTGGGCTGGGCATTGCCGAGATTCAGGCGAGGGGGAAAGTCTGGGAAGAGGTTGGCCTGGGAAGGGGCCATAGGAACACGCTCTTACTCTAAAATTGAAGTCATGTGCCAAGTTCAAGAGGAAATTAAACAACCCTCTTGATTGCTATAATAGCAACGTGCTTTACCATCTTAGGACATTATTACCACTCCCCCACAAATTCCTTCTCCCCATTCCCATTGCCTGAAAATCTGTGCACTCTCCAACCTCCCTTCACCCAATTTCCTCCCTTACCCCCATACCCCTTCTACCTTCACTTTCCCTTCAGCTTCCCAGCCAGCTGTGCTGAAACCAACAACTTCATAAACTGAAGGTAGGGTGGGAGGCACTTGTCAAACATACATTGCATGTTATTATAGACTATATAGGGTTGTCCCTTAGGAAGTACAACCCATTAGATTGTATTCCTTTATA